TGGGGAGCTCTGGATGGGAGTGATCACTCCATCCTTTGCTTGGAGATCAAGGGAACATGGATGAGCAGCAGGTCAAGTACTAGAAGCTGGGACTTCACAAGGGCCAACTTTGGTCAATTGAAAACCAGACTGGGGGAAGTCTCCTGGGAGAGGGTACTGGAAGGCAATGGAGTTCAGGAAGGGTGGATGGTGCTAAAAAGGGAAGTCTTGGAAGCACAAGCCTTGATGATACCGCTAGTAAGCAAGGCAGGGAGGTGGAGGAGAGCACCACTGAGGATGCAAAAGGAGGTGGTTAGAGGGATTAGACACAAGAGGAACCTCTGTAGGAAATGGGCACTGGGGCAAGCAGACAAAAGGGTCTACCGGGAGGAGGAGGCCCGTTGCAGAAGGATTCTTCCCAAGGCTAAGGCTGATTATGAGCTGAAACTTGCCAAGAATGTCAGGAGCAACAAAAAAGGCTTCTTTCAGCATGTAAATAGCAAGAGGAAGAGGAGACAAGTGGTGGGACCGCTGAATAAGGAGGAAGGGGATCCAGTGACTGATGTGAGGGAACAGGCACAGATGCTAAATGACTATTTTGCCTCTGTGTTCTCCCCAAAGCAGGACGGGGGATACCCACATAGGAGATTAGATAAGGCCGAGGACTTGGGGGCACAGATTAGAGTCACCCCCTTCCCAAGAAGTCAAGGAGCTCCTCAGGTCACTGGACACTGATGGGTTATACCCAAGTCTACTTCAGGAGTTGGCCAGGGTACTCTCATGTCAGTTGGCCTCTATTTTTGGGTCCTTGCAGAGGACTGGAAGGTGGCATCAGTGGTCCCAATTTTCAAAAAGGGTAGTAGAGGGGACATGGGGAATTACAGGTGAGTTACCTGACATCCATTCCAGGAAGGATGATGGAAAGGCTCATAATAGTGGTGGATCTAGTAACCCGAGATGGAGAACGGAGGTTGGTGGCCATGCAACACAGGTTTCCCAAAAACAGGTCCTGCCAGACAAACTTTGTGGAATTCTATGACAAGGTTTTGAGCTGGCTAGACGGAGGGAACCCAGTGGATGTGGTGTACCTGGATTTCAGCAAAGCCTTTGACAAAGTGCCCCATGATATCCTGGTGGAGAAACTGAGCAGTTTTGGGATAGACCAATACACTGTCCAATGGATTAGGGCATGGTTGATGGACCAAAAGTAGAAGGTGACTACCAGTGAGGAATCTTTGGGATGCCAGTCGGTGACAAGTGGGGTCCCCCAGGGCTCTGTCCTGGGACCGATCATCGATGACCTGGAAGAGGGGGTGACCAGTCTGCTGATCAAATTTGCAGATGATACCAAAGTAGAGGTGGTGGCCACAACTGTGGAGCAGGTGGTCCAGATGCAGAAGGATCTGGACAGGCTATGGAAGTGGGCAGGGGACAACAGGATGGCGTCCAATGGGGGTAAGTGCAAGGTCTTGCACTTGGGGCACAGGAACGGGTGTCATGAGTACAGGTTTATTTATTTATTTATTTATTAAAACATTTTTATGCCGCCCCATTCGCCGAAGCCTCGGGGCGGCTTACAACATAGATAAAACAAGTTAAAATCCATATAAAATAATCTTAATTAAAACTCACATTATAAAATAAGCCGCCCTGGCCAGATAAAATTCAATTGTATTTAGCATTTAAAATGTTGCTTAAATAAAAAGGTCTTAGCCTGGCGCCGAAAAACAAATAACGACGGCGCCAGGCGGACCTCTCTGGGGAGCGCATTCCATAACTTAGGGGACAAGTGGCTGGAGAGCAGCACTTGTGAAAGGTGCAGCTGAGGTCCGGCAGCCATGGCAGCTGCTGGGAGCCATAATCCTGATGTGGTTGCCAGTTTTATCACTCCAGAGCAGGGCACGAGGTGCCAGGCCTGGCCCACTGGATGTGCCTCTTCCACCGGGCATTTGGCCTGCCTCACCCTGATCTTCCTTCCAATTTGAAATCAGGCCTCGGTGGGCTCCCCCTGCCATTTCTGAACACCGTCCATGGCCACAGTCCCCCCCCCGCCCCCGCTCTCGCCTGCCACCCTCTCCCTTTCCCCCTTTTCCACGGTCCCCTTTCGGGAGGATGCCCTTGGAGGGGGGTGACATGCCTGCTCCTCTTGCACACTCCGCCACACGCCACACAGGCTGTGAGTGCTCTCCAACTAAGGAAGAGCAGCCCTCGACTGGCCGTTTGGCGGGGGGCTCCGCTCTTTGCAGGAGCACCCCCCTCTTGTGCCTCCAGGTGAGCAGGCGCTCTTCTCTCCCAGAGCACAGCTCCTGCTCTGCCCTGAACGGGAAGCCTTCACTGAAGGGGCCATAAATCCCCCTCAAATCCGGCCCCAAGGAGACCACACTGGAGTCTAGTAATTAAGTGGCTGGCAGGGAGGTGCAGGCCGGTCTCTGCCATTGGAGAACTGTTTGAAAAGGGCTGACTCGAAGCAGGGCACAGGGGAGGGGAGCGAAGTGCAGCCTCTGTGAAGTCTGTTTCAAAGGCCTAGAGGAACAAAAATCCTACCAGAGAACTGAAGCAGCATTATACAACAGGCAAGGAACGTGAAGAGAGATTGCAGAGAAGGAGGGAAATAAGCCCCCGTTTCCCTTCCCCCTGCAGAGGCTCCTCTGGCCTAGGAAAGGAAAGGGGTAACATCCAGATTCAATCACAGACTGATCTCCCTCCGGGCAGAGAAATTTGGAAGCGTCAGGAAATCACACTGTGAAGTGAACGGTAGAATAGGGTTTATATGAAACAGGGATCAGCTGGGATCAGCTTGGACTCTGCAGCCACTTCTGCCCAGGACCTCTTCGGAGGCCTTCCTGGCCCAGCCGAGCACCATGTCCCCCTGCCGAGGGAACCAAAAGCTTCGCCACGCCCCCAGGCAACGCACCCCTTCCCAAAGTGCAGCGGCATTTCCACTGATGCCTCTCCCAGGAGGTGCATCTCCGAGCAGGGACACGCAGTTGCTTAAGCCAGCGAGCAATTGGGCGGAACTTTGCACTTCTCTCCAAGGCGGAAAAGAGATTCATGGCCGGTTGGGTGTCACTCTGGCACCATTTTTCCTGCTACTTTTTCCTATGCTGCAGAGGAGGACAGGACATGTTCCACTGGAGCCAAGCTCAGGGGACCAAGGTTCCATTTGGATGCCAGGAAGTACTTGGCATACCCCACCCCCAAGGGTATGGAGTGGGCTTCCAGGGAGGTGGTCGAAGCCCCATGGGTGCGGGTGTTCAAGGACAGGCTGGACATGCACATGGTATGTAAGTCATGAGCTAGGGGTCAGACTAGATGCCCTGGGAAGCCCCTTCTGACTTGCTCTGTTGCTCTGTTGCTGTTTCTATCTTTCTTGGCTGACCGCTGCTCCCACTCGGACTGGCGAGCTGCCTGAAGGGTCTCTTGAGGCCAGCGCTGCTTGTGGGCAGATGAAGGATATAGTTTCCCTGCGTGGGGGGCTCCACAGCCTCTGGGCACACTAGCAAGGACGCGCTCCATCCCACACATGCCCTGATGAAGGTGTTTGGGACCGGGGTTAGGCAAGGGTCGATGGTGGCAGCCTGCGTCTGAGCTGGTGTCCCAGCTGGCATCCCAGGGCTGAGCTCTTAGCAGACTAGGTAGGCCATCCCGAAACTCTGCCCGTAGACCACAATGCCCTGGCTCCAAAGCGCAGTCCAGGCTCTCCTCCAATAACCTTAGACCGAAGCTCAGCAGGACGGGAGGAGGAATCCATGGCAGTGTCCTGGAAACGGAGCCTGCAAGAAGAGCCTTGCCTTCTGACTGAGCTGGCCCGGCACGTGAGCCCCGAACTACAGGAGCTGCCGCATCACGGGGCCCTGTTGCCCCAGGGTCTGTGCCGCTCTGCTGGGGCAAGTGTGAGGAGGCTCCCACACAGTATGGCTGGCTTGCAGAAGGGGCAGAGATCTCCTGGGGGGGGGCACTTTCACATTCTGTAGATTGCACCAAAAAGATTGTGAGCGAGAAGCTGCCTCACCAAAAGGAAAGGCCTCCAGCTGCATGCAGCAGTGAGGGGCTCTGGAATGATCTCAACACTTCAGCAGCTGGTGGGCCTATGAAAGAGATGCCTTGGCAGAGGAAGGGTGGTCTTGGAAGGAGCTAAGTCAGCACTGCAGACAGCAGCGGGGGGGGGGGGGGGCGGTGTATAGGCAACCAAGCAGGCTTCTGCAGCTGAGAGCAAATCGTTTGTCATGGCAACAAGTGGCAATGCACGGAGCGGGCAACCAGCTCAAAGGGGATCGTTTGCAGGCATCGGGTCCATGAGTGCAAGAGGGCAGAGCCAGCCGTGCGCGTGTGCGTGTGAGCGGGCACGCCTGCTGGACCCTGCCTTGCAGCCTCACGGCTCCTGAGCTGCTGGCAGTGGCTCCCCTGCCGAACGGCTGGTGCTGCGCAGACGATGAAACGGGGCCGCCCACTCAGCCTGCCAAAGCCCGGCCCGCCGCCTTTCTGGGGAAGCAGCTCTGACATGGATTGTTGCCTTGTTATCACTACCAGGACAACGAAAAAGCAGTGCCCTCGTGTGCCCTTTCAGTGTGCACGTGTCGCTCTATCGTGTTCCATTTCTTGCTGTGTTCCTTTGCGTTCTCCTCTTTTAGACAAATCATTCCTTTTTTCTGAGAAATTGTTCCTTGATATTTTCTCTAATACTTTCCTGGGTGCTACTGGTTTGCCATGCTGGAAGCACCCTGGCCTTGATGGCACTTAACCGCCATGCGGGCCCGGAAGTCTTGGCAAGGGTGTCTTCCTACCAAAATCCGAAGCGCTGCCCGACGGCACTTAGCAAGGCACCCCAAATCCCATCCCTCGTAAATTCTGTGCGCTGCATTGCAGATTTGCTACACAGGGACGTGTGGGGGCCTCTGCTGCCCTCCCCTTCCCGTGGCACATTCCTTCCGCTGCTGCCCGCGGGAAGCGGTCCTCCTGCACGCTGCTGAAAGCACCCTCCCGCCGGGCGCCTCGCCCCGGACCCAGGCCAGCCTACTCACACATTGGCTTCAGCTGGCCAATCAGCTCCTCCTTTGTCCATTTTGCCCACTCCTTTTTGTCTGTGTTGATGGAGCACAAGATGGGTCCACACGGCTTCCCACAGTCCTCGATGGCAGGTACATTCAGGTAGTGCACCAACACGATGTCTGGGTTCTGAAGGAGAGAGGGACGGCAGAAGACAAAAGAAGACAATTTGAGCCGCGAGATCACCCAGTCTTATTGACCCCCCACCCCCACTATAAGCCAGTCTGCTGGGACCAAATAACTTTTAAGGCAAACAACGCTGAGTGCCATTAAGGCTCCGAAGGACGGAGGGGGCAGCGGAGAGGCTCCTGGCCTGGCGGCGACAGCAGGGGAGCGCCGCCGCAGTGGAGGGGCCGTCTCAGCTCGGCAGCTCGTTTCCCATCAGCTGCGGGCCGGCTGAGCAGAGGGAAGGTGTGTGGCGCTAGGCCGGAGTCTCACGCTGGGGGCCGAGCCAGGCTCTGCACATGCCAGTTCCGGGATCCGATCTTACGTTAAGGCTGCCCGAGCAGAAAGGGAGGGCCGCGTGCAGAGTAGGATCCACGGCGCAGCCAAAGCTCCCAGAATGTACGCTTGCCTCTGCCAACACTCATTTACACAGCTGGATGCAGAAGTGATGGCAAAGCCAGCCAAATATCTTCTCGTCCAAAGAAAAGACATTCCCCAGAAAGTTTGCACCCTGAGCCACCCCAAACAAATAGAGACAGTTTGGGATGCTGAGTCGCTTTGTTTTTCAAAGCTCAAGTGTCACGCAGGGGCAAAACACGGGCGGCAAGGCAGAATGCAGGGAGAAGGGCTGACCCTTCCCTCTGCAGTGTGCTTGACAACGGCTTCCTGCACGGCCGTTCAGCAAAGGAACGACGGCACCTTCTACCAGCACACACATCTCCACGTGCCTGGAAAAATGATGAAACCCCCCAGACCCAAGCCGAGCAGGGTCTCTGCACAGGGGAAGCTTTCTCCTGGCTGGCTCCCCTGCAGACTCGGCATTCCCCTTGTGCAGCCACGACTCCCTTTCAATCCAGCCGGGTCCTAGGCTGAGCTGAGCTGACCCAAGCTGAGCTCCTGACCCAGAGCCTTGCCTGCCTTACTGCGGGGCACATGCTGACAGGTTGGGTGCTCCTCGGTTCTGGCTCCCACGAGAGAGAGAGCGAGCATGCAAGGAGCATCAAGGTGAGCGAGCAGCAAGGCTGGAGCAGCAAGCCTGCAAAGACCTTCGGGGAGGTCACCTGTCCATCCAGGTGGTCACTACTTGCCTGCCGGAGCATCCCAGCAGCCCAGGCTGAGAATGCGCCACAGCTCTGCAAGGCCCAGAATGGCAAAGCTTCACGCCTGCCACATAGTGCCGCTTCTCAGGTGAGCTCCCATGGAGCCCAGCTTAGTTATTTCTCAAATGTACTGCCACCCTTAGAATGGCTGCTCCCTAGGTAGCTATCAACCAGCAGCAGAATAACAACAACAGAGTAAAATGAAATGGTCAGCCTGGCATCATTAATACCAAGACAAGACAAAACACAGCAGCAAAGGAGAAACAGGTCCCTCAGCCATTGCTCAGTCAATTAAAAGCAGTAGTATAAAGGAGACACTTCCAAGAGCAACAGGTTAAAAGGTCTGGGAACATCAAAAGATACCAATGTAGGTGACCAACCAAGCCTCCCTGGGAGGTCAACAACAACTAGGATGCCCCTCATTCAAGTTGCCACCCACCCATCTCCAGGCAGGATGATGGATTGTCAGTAGCATCCGCTGAGAGGGAAGGAAGTTAGGGAACTATGGACCACTTAGTCTGACATCAATCCCTGGAAAAATTCCGGAGCAAATTATTTTAAAAAATCAGCCTGCAAGTACCTTGAAGAAAATGCAGTAATTAATAAAAGTTAATATGGATTTATTTGCAGATGATACTAAAACTGGGGCAGTGGCCACAACTGAGGAGCAGGTACTCCAGATGGAAGTGGGCAGACTATGGAAGTGGGCAGGAGACAACAGGATGGCGTTCAATGTGGATAAGTGCAAGGTCTTGCACTTGGGGCATCGGAATAGGTGCCATAAGTACAGGTTAGGTGACAAGTGGCTGGAGAGCAGCACTTGTGAAAGGGACCTCGGGGTGCTGGTTGACTGCAGGCTAAACATGAGTCAGCCGTGTGATGCGGTGGGCAAGAGGGTGAACGCCACCCTTGGTTGCATAGCCAGAAGTGTGGCTTCTAGATCGAGAGAGGTATTACTACCACTCTATATGACTCTGGTGCGCCCGCAACTGGAGTATTGTGTTCACTTTTGGGCCCCTCGTTACAGGAAGGATATCGCCAGGTTGGAGTCAGCGCAGCGTAGGGCCACAAGGTTGGTGGCCGGTTTGCAGGGGATGCTGTATGAGGCGAGACTGAGGGAACTGGGTCTCTTCAGCCTGGAGGAGAGGAGACTCCGAGGGAATCTGTTGGCGACATACAGGTACTTGAGGGGGTGCCACATGGAAGTGGGTAGAGACCTGTTCTCCCCTGCAGAGGAAGGCAGGATGCGCTCCAACAGAGCAAAGCTCAGGGAGCCAAGGTTCATTTTGGATGCCAGGAAGTACTTCCTGAAAGTTAGGGCCCTGAGGGTGTGGAATGGGCTTCCGTGGGAGGTGGTTGAAGCCCCACCAGTGCGGGTGTTCAAGGACAGGCTGGACATGCACATGGCGAGTATGTCGTAAGCAGAGCTGGCTGGAGCCGCGGGTCAGACTAGATGGCCTGGGAGACCCCTTCTGACTCACTCTGTTTCTATGTTTCTATAAAAAACAAATTCTGTTGGACTAATTTAATTTCATTTTTGACTGGGTAATCTCCCAAATGGACAAAGGGAACACTGTGGCCACAATCAACCTAGATTTTAGCCAAGCTTTCAACATAGTGCAACATGACATTCTGATAAGCAAAGTAGCAAAAAGTGGACTCGATAGAAAAACTATGAGGTGGATCCAAAAATGGCTGCTGTATTGGACACATATAGTGCTCATCGATGGCACCTTCCCAAATTGGATGGAGGTAACTAGTGGGGTGCCACAGGGTTCAGTCCTGGGCCCAGTGCTCTTCACCATCTTGATTAATGATTTGGATGAGGAAGTACAAGGAAAGAGAATCAGATCTGAAGATGATACAAAACTGGGTGGAATAGCGAACACCCTAGAAGACAGGATGAAGATCCAGGGCGATCTTGAGAAACTTGAACACTGGCCTGAAAGCAACAGATTGAGATTCAATAAGGACAAGTGCCAATCCCCCACCTAGGAAAAAGAAACCAAATGCTTAGACACAAGATGGGGAATGCGTGGCTCAACAGAACAGAAAAAGAAAAAGTCTACCTGAGAGGGATGGTGTGACTCGGTGTCCTGCAACAGCAGGGGGTTGGGCTTGGTGGCCTTCCTGGTCCCTTCCAGCTCTACTATTCTCTAATTGTCTGATTCTATGAAGTGGGGGTGCCTTTCCACCCTGTGAAGGTTCCCCCAAGCTTGCGACAAATGCTTAAGGATAACAGAGAATGGTTGCCAAATGCTCTTCCACATTATCCACATGCAGGCATTACAGAAAGGAAACTGTGGGTTCATCGGCTTTACAAAGTCATCCATATATCATGGATCTGCGCTGAAAGAATCATACATTTTGGGAAGGAACCGTGTGAAAGTCTTTTGAAGGCAAAAGGCCTTCCTTTTGGTGTTGTGGATAAGCATGCAGGACTGGCACTCAGGCAATCTGCACTCTGGTCCCTGCTCAGCCATGGGGCCCCCTGGGTGACTTTGGGCCAGACACAGGTTCTCAGCCCAAACTACCTCACAGGGCTGTTGTTGTGGGGATAAGACTGAGAGCAGCAGGAGGAGAATGATGTAAGCTGCTTTGAGTTCATTCAGAAAAAAGCAGGATATAAATCTAATAAATAAACCTACAATTTGTCTTTGCAATTTCACAACTTACCTAGAGTCAGAAAGCTGTGAAAGGCAATTGCTTTGGAAACATGTATGGCTTAAAAGGGAAGTATAGTGCTTTTGAAAAATATGAGCAACGTTTGAAATCAATACCACATTTACTGGGGGTTGTAAGAATAACATTGCAAGGTTTGCACAAGCCCATACCAACTGAGACACGCTCAAAGGTCTGGGATGGTCTCGACTGCAATGCACTCCTCCGAAGCCCTGCTTCACAAGGGAGAGGCTGGATCGTGCTGCATGATCCCCGCGGAGGTCTGTCTGGATTGGATTTCATAACGCACCAATCATGGTTAGCAATCAGTCTCGGGTACAAGTGCTATGCTGGGAAAAGTTATATTTCAATATCAGAGTAAGATCTGGAAATAGGAGGAGAAAGGTGTCCTGTGCAGGGTCTGCTTCTGAAGAAATGTGGAAGAGGATCCTGACAGGCACATAGGTCACACTTCTGTGACCTGCACCAGTTTTCAACTGAGAAGGGGAAGGGGAAGAGCAAGAATGCTTACACAGGGACAAGGCTCCTGTCCTTAAGCCTGCAAAGAAATTCTTCAAAGTGCTTCTTCTTCATTTAGTGACCGCTGAAATCTCAAAAATCCTTGAGGAAGGTGAGAAGCCATAAAAATTGCAGAACCAAATTTTGAAGAAAATTGTGTAAGCTCCCTTAAGCTCTTTGGAAGGAAAAGGATATAAATATAATATGAAAGGATATAAATATCAGAAAGGAAGGAAGGAAGTTCAGTCAGAGAAATGGTGCAAATCTGCACGCAGTTCGCAGTGCCCAGTCCTTCCCGGTCCAGAGCCTGGCTGGACTGAGCCTGCAGGCGACACAGCAGCCCGGCCACAGGCAAGAGGTGCCCAGCCTCCTGGTCCCAGCATCCCCGAATGTGCTGCCTGCGACTTGACAGGCACTTCAGCTCTGGCTGCACTGCAACAGAAATTCCAGTAAAGAACCTTCAACTCACTTTTATCGGGTAGGGGTGGATAAATGAAAAATCCTAACGACGAGACGACCATGAAACACCCCCCCACCCTGATAGATAGATAGCAACAAGACTGAAAACTAGATCTCTCTCCCTGAAGTCATTTGCTTCTAAATTCACAAACTTTAATGACTGCTCTGGAATTATTTATAAAAATAAATAGGATAATGGTGTAATTAAAACTCTAATGTTTCATT